TCATTCGTCAAACGAAAAAAAATTGTAATCGGAATATTTTTTCCAAATTTTCAAAAAATTTCGGAAAATTTATCAAATTTTTTTTTATAAAGATGGTTTTGAAAAATATTTCAATAATTTGAAAAGGACATTTTTTTTTATAATTTAGATGGCGTATTTTTTGAGAATATTGAAAAATTTAAAAAGTAAGAAAACAGCGGTATAATAAAAAAAATTATATTCCCAAAAATTTTTAGAAAATGATAAAAAAAAATTTCCGAACCAACTTTTTGAAAACTTTTTCAAAACCTTTCCCAAAAATACAATTGTTTGTCACAATTGTCTCCCGGTTGTTTTTTGTTTCAAAAAAAAATTTCTGAAAAGTTTTCCAGAAATTTTTTGAAAATCTGTAAAAAATATTCCGAATACAATTTTTTTTTACTCGGGGTGGTATTACCAAAAATGGGAACGTATTTTATTGAAGAGAGCAATTTTAATACAAACAAATATAGCAAAGGCAACAAATTAATTAACGCTTCAATGAAATATTAGGTATTCTGTGTATCAATAAATAAATACTGAAATAAAATTCGTAATGAACGGAAATTCGGTGGTTGTAAAAATTGAAGACTTGCTATTCAACTCAAAAATAGCTGTCCATCATTCCAAATTTTTGAGCTATTCCTCGTAATTACTAAAACCATTATTCTCCTGGTAATAACTCTGGCCATCAATATAACGTTACTGAATAATTAATGGACATTATGATTATCATAAATCGAATAGGTGATGACAATTCAATTGTGTCTCGATGGTAACGCTGGAAATTAATGCGTTCCATTGCGTGGAACTAACACCAGATACTATGACCCTTTTAATTATTTATCAAGCTTTGGAGACCTAACGGTTTGCCCTCTAGTCAACTCCACTTTATACCTGAGTAACGCGAAAATTGCTACCTCCCTTTATCGATTTATTTACACAGTACGTCGCGTGATAGCTACTCGGTAAAAAAAAAATTAAAAGCAAATATGTGGACTTTTTTTACAGAACGTGTCCTGTAATGGCTCTTATGTAGCCTCAATCTCGTGCTCTATTTACACTGCAACGTAAGGATGAAAAAAAGTAACTGCTTCCGTCTGCATTTTTCCTATTTCTGAAAAATTAAATGGAAGACAAAATTCCAAATTTTTTTTTATTATATTCTTTGCTTCCTCCGGGGGAAAATCAATAACAACATTATGGGTTTCGGATGTGAACACTTCATTAATCAAGTCTTCATTAATTTTTCATTAGATTAAGGCTTTTTTTTTTCTTTTTGTTTTTTTGAGAGCAGAATTCTTCCATCAAGTGAATTTTCATTGGGTCAGAAAAAAAAAATTATTGGTGGGTGGTAAATTTTAGGGGAAACGCCATTTTTTTTTAGTCTTCGGGTAAAGATTTATAAAGACCTGGGTAAATAAAAAAAATACGACGGAATCTGAAGTTAAATTTTTTAATTTATAAAAAATAGTGACAATTTTCGCTGAGGGAATAAAATGGTATGGAATAAAAGGCCGAAAAATTGGATGATAAATGGATGAATGAACTGTATCATAAAACCCACATATACTCAACGTAATTAAATTATTATTCGCGCCGATACCGAGGATTTACAAATTGCGGGGAATAAAAACGGCCTTAATAAATACATTACTGGCGTTGCAAAATTCCAAAATATTATTACCCCATTAGCCATGAAAATTTGATATTGAAAAATTTACCTCCTCCAATAATACCCTACATATTTTGTTTCAGAAAATTTTTTTCATAATTTTCTATAAATTTTTGGGAATATAATTTCCTTTTTTCATCATTCCATTTTTTTCTTACTTTTTTGATTTTTCAATTTTCTCCAAAAAACGCCATCTAAACTACCAAAAAAATTTTCCCATTCAAATTTTTGAAAAATTCTTCAAAACCTTCTCAAAAAATAAAATGGTTTAATTTTTCCATTTTTTTTGTTTCATAAAAAAAATGTGTGAAAAATTTTCCCAAAAATTTTTAAAAAATCAAAAAAAATATTCCGATTACTATTTTTCCATTACCCAGGGGAGTACACCTGAAAAAGTACGGGTCAATTATCTTTCCGTAGAAAACTGTAATGATTTTTTAATCCACGGCGAACATAAAATGCTAATGCAGAAGGACTAGACATGTCAGATGACTGACGTTATCACATGAGAATGCAAAAACATCATTCTGGTTATCTCGCCACGTTAATCTTAAATGAATCCTAAAGCTAGATTTTCCGCTGTATTCACTCTGCAACGAAATCCGTTTCCGCATTATGTTTCACGGTGAAGAGTGACCTCCGCCCCCGTAAACTCTACCATTACTAGTGACTCGTTGAAATCCGATCATTTTATCCGCTCGTTGAAAGTGGAATATGGAAGCGCATATCAGAAGTATATTCCCTCTCAATAACGCATTTTATATTATTTTTTACCTACTACACATGTCCTAGTTTCAAAGATTAAATGTCACAAACAGAAGCTCAATGTCGCATTTCATGGATTTTTTATTTATTTTGCAGAGATACCTGGCAGATGTCGACGACACTGTCCACATGGGCCAAAAATGTCTGGGGCTGGGTGCAATTTAATTGGCGAAGGGACTTCCGGTGAGAGTGAACGAAGGGAAAATAATGGCAGATGCGTCTGCGGTCCTTCGGTTCCTTGGTGTCCTGGAGAACCGCATCCTTATACATTCACAACGAGACACGAATGCAAACTCAATCTTGCCGCCAAGACTGCATATGGTATGTACTGGTTTACAGTTCTTTCATTTTATTTGATCCCAGTTATTTCTTGGGTAAAAAAAAATTTTTATCGGAATATTTTTTCCGAATTTTTAAAAAATTTCTGGAAAATTTTTCAGAATTCTTTTTTTTATACAAAAACAAATTGGGAAACGAGATAATCGAATTTTTGGGAAATATTTTGGAAATTTCTCAAAGATTTGTTTCGGAATTTTTTTTTTATAATTTTCTCGAAATTTTTGTCGATAGAATTTTTTTTATTTTTCAAAATTCTCAAAAAATACGTCATCTAAATTATAAAAAAAAGAATCCTATTGAAATTTGTGAAAAATTTTTCAAAATCTTTTCCGAAAATAAAATTGTTTGTTTCCTTTTTTTTTATAAAAAAAAAATGTTGAAAAGTTTTCCAGAAATTTTTTGAAAATTTGGAAAAAATATTTTGATTACTTTTTTTTTAGCCGGGTTGAATTATAATAGTTCGTTCTAATGTAAGAGGACATTCTGAAGATATTCAATCGTTTTAATCGATTTCATTGTTGGTCATGACCAGCGCTATTATAATTGATCCCAGTCTCTATTCCGTTGTGCACAGATCATAAGTGATATGACATACCTAAAAGCATACATGCTCTAAACCGCCATTTTCCACCCCCAAACCTCCACTTTGTGGTTTGCACCAGCAGATACATCATTTCGATATTATCGAATTAACACTATCGCATTAACACGAAAAATATCTCATCAAAATTCCGATTTCCGATTATTTTTTTTTACCCGCGACGCTACTGATTTTTTTTTTCCAATTTAAATACTAGAATCTGAAATGATTCATCCCCTCCAATTTTCATTCGAAAGCTCTACATTTTTTCAAAGATATACTTCAATTAAAAAAAATTGTTGCACAATAAAAATTGCAAATTCAGCTGCATATACACCCCTCCCCCTCCCCTCCGCAAGTGTAATGTTTTAAGATTTCTTAATATGACTTGATAGTGAATACTCCCCATTCAGTATTAGAAATTCAACCCAAAGAGGTCCAGGAATAAATAGAAATGCAGAGTGGGGTTGAGCGAATGAAATTTTCTCCGCAGACTACGTGAGGAAAAAACGTGCAGGCAAAAAAAAAAATAGGCAATGTACTGCGCTAATGAAAAGAAAATGTAGATAGCAACGTGAAAGTCGTTCAACAGTCATTTCAACCAGACAGCTCTCGATGCATATTCCCAATTTCTTGCGTGATGAATGAAAAATCAGGATGAAAAAGGGTGAAACGGGAGCACAATGATACGAATGGGGTAGAGCGAGATATTGCTAATGAGAGATGGTAATGGGACTGGCATTTTTTTTATGGACAATGCAATCCACCTTTTCAATTAGCATTCGATTGTTCTGTTTGGGAATTTAGTGGGGCAGGTTTTTTTGATAATATGCTGATTTGGTGTTTTTGTCAATTCATCATTGAGAAAAAATTATATCCTTCGTTAATTCTTGAGAGGGAGAATAAAGAAGGAGAAGAGATCACGAACTAGTGCGTCAATTAAAATTTGAAGTTTCACGAAATTTTCATTGACGACTCGGGTAAAAAAAAATGTAATCGGAATATTTTTTCCAAATTTTCGAAAAATTTCTGGAAAACATTTCAGAAAATTTTTCTTTTGAAAAAAAAAAGCCGGGAAATAGTTTTTTAATATTCTCGAAAAAACGCTATCTCAATTATAAAAAACATTTTCCTATCCAAATTTTTGTAAAATTTTTCAAAACTTTTCCCAAAAATAAAATTCTTTCGTTCCCCGATTTTTTTTTGTTTCATAAAAAAAATATCTGAAAAATTTTCCAGAAATTTTTTGAAAACTTGGCAAGAATATTCCGATTACATTTTTTTTAAATTGAATTTATTGAATATTTTTGAATTTTTATTAAATATTTCTCTCCGTGCACTCACCAAAAATAAAGTGAAATCATGCGGTACATCGTCCATCAAAGATTATAAATTCCACGAAACGCATCTTCTCGCTGACATAAATACATATACATATTTAGGTTTATGTGCTTCTCTTATACCTATTCGGGTGATTCGTACGTGAACCACTGGTTGTAAAGGCGTTCTCGTGTTCAGGGTTTAACAAGGTTATCCCACCGGCGCAACAACGCAACAAAAGTACTTTATCCTATTTGCGGAAAAGTTAAATTTGATTCACCTGGAAAAGTTTAATCGGCCAAGAATCCCCCACCGTGCAGACAGCTTGTGTCCTATTTCAGCATTCCGCATCTACACAGATTTTTGAGTTATATGTATATGTTTTCACTTATTTATGCTGATTCACAACACAGACTGTACGAGTGACTTTGCAATAGAATTTGATTCTCACCAGTTGATTTAAATTTGATGAACCTTGAATATGTTCCCGGCTAAAAAAAAAATTGTAATCGGAATATTTTTTTCAAATTTTAAAAAAATTCTTGGAATACTTTTCAGAAATTCTTTATGATTCTCTATTAAACAAAAAAAATCGGAAAGAAAAACAATTTTATTTTTGGGGACGGTTTTGAAAAAATTTTCGATAATTTGAATAGGCAAATAGGTTTCTCTGTCTTTTTTTTTAGTGTATGATATTTTTATGGATTATTTCATGTAGATAATCCGCTTATATTGTATCAATGAATTAGCAATTGTATTATTCAATTTATTATTCCCAATCGTTCCACATCCGTTGAGTTTCCGCTCAAATGTCATAAATAAAAAATTCACAATTATTGTTTACCGGGATTACAGGATAAATTGTGAGTCCAAAATAAAAAATATCTCCTCAGATTTACAAATCACTTCAAACTTCTAGTAGAAATCTGTTGCTGTAGTGCGACACGCCACATCTTCTGATTAAACTAATCCCGTCCTAATAACCAAATCAACTCATTAAATTCTTATCAATCCGTGACGTAACAGAGAGTATTGAAAAATAATTTGTGAGTGATACCATATAATTTTGTTTCCAGATAACCTCGTCAGTGTGTCCGACTCATATTCCATGGACGGTAAGTTTTCGGCAAAGTCTCTGACCTCGTTATCGCATTTCATAATTACAACATTTAATTAAATGAGTCTTAATTAATTTCACAGCCGACTAACTTTGAAAATCGTACAATTAAATTGGATTTCCACAGAAGTGGTTTCACGTAGTGGAAATATTCATGAAAATAAGTAATTGATATTTTTCCATGAAATCATAAAATAATCTTTACAAAATATTTGATATTCTGAATGTAATTACGTAATTATTATTGAATATTTCTCGTGCATGTCTTTTATCATTCCGACAACTGGAACTAGTCCAGAATTATCTCTCATTTTGTTTGATGTTTTCCCTTTCTTCATTCATTCTCATTTTCAGGGGCCCACCCTTTGACGGGCGTAAAAAATATTCATTTAGGGTGTACATCAAATTTACAAGAGAACCCCCCATTCTGGAGGCTGCAGTAAATCTCGTGATGTAAATGAGAGTAAATTGAAAAAAATGATGTTGATTAATGAGAGAGACAGGCGGTGGAATAGGCATTGAAGAAGTCTATGTGAGATAAAAAAAAGATCCCCTACGCATTGAAAGAAAACCGCAAGAGATATCTCATCTCTTTTCCTCGTGCCTTTTCCTCTTTCTTCGACGCATTTATATTTTTCCCCCTTTTCGGGACTTCCCTTTTCAACATGAGAACGAAAAAGCTTTCACATTTCGTATTGGAGTACGTGAATCCATCGGTCATTTTTTTATCTTTCGCTTTTTGTTACTCCAAAATGTATTGCAAATGGTTTTTCCGAATTTTCCACGGGTTCACTCGTCCGAACATTCAATTCAAATTCTTTCAACACTCAGTGCATTATATTACGAAATAATTTAAACAGAAATTAATTAACACTCATGTCCCTTTAATGTTTTAAAAAAAATTTTTTTTTTCCTTTTTTCATACTCTTTATCACTAAGAAACCAATAAGTTGACTTTTTCTTTGAGCGGCAAGTCGATCTTTCCCGATTCACTGTATCTTAAACATCGGTGGCCGGAAAATCGGGTGATCATTTTCAGAATGATCGATAATGCGTCACAATCGATGAATCAAATGGCAGGGAATCCGCTCTTTTTTCTTCGCAGATAAATCTCGAGATATCTGACAATAAAGAAATCAACTATCAAAAGACTGGAGAGACGGAAAAAGACGGGCATTTTTCAGCAACAATAACAATATAAAGAAGAACTCATAAAATTCCGTTCCGTTTTCACAGAATGGTATGATCGTATATAAACCGACTGAATCAAGATACTAGCACACTGGAATTTCCATATTGTATCCTACTTGTGAAGTTTTTTAAACGAATGATTTCCCGAAGGGAAAGATGTACCGATATATCATATAACCGATCTATGCAGGAATATATGTTTTAGATGCATGGAAATGTGAGAGAAAGTTTCACTTCATTACAACGGCATCTTCGAACATTTGCATTAAAAAAAATTATTATGTAATATTCCTGATTTTTTAAGTTTACTTGTATGTTTTTATTTTGATAAAAATTGACATTCCCCGATTAATTTGCAAATTGAAATTGGAATATTAAGTAGATTCTTGGAAAAATCTCAAGAAAACTGACACTGCCTTCTTCTATCCTTCATTGGCTTCCCGGCCACTTTCAATTTCCTTCAAGAAAACTTTGGCCATTCTCCAGACTTAAAAAATAAATAATGGAAATTTGAAAATTCAATTTTCATAATGCGGAAGCCTGAGAAAATGAAAAAGGTCGACGTCTCTGAGTCATTGGTATTCTCGAGGCGATTTCCACAGTCTCCATGAAAAGCGTCGCCCCCGGTTTTCCTCCATACAACCGGCTATAATTTTCACGTGTCTCTCCTCGAGAAGTCTCATGAAAATCTCACCTCAGCCTCTTCCACCTTTCCCTGATAAAAGAGAAAATAAAAAAATAAAAAAAGCCCCTCGAGAGCCGGAGAGGAAACGCTCATGTTTATCTGTTTTATCTGACGATTTCCACCATCTTCGATCTTCCGAATAAGTCTCATCGTAAATTTGGCGAAGATGTCTCTTCTTTTTCATCTCCCCCTCTGCACTAAAACCGTAACTCTCTGAGTCTCGAGGGAATATTTTCAGTAATAGAGGGTTGTGTACCTGGAAAATTGCTCCGTCACATCAAGAGAATTTTCCCAGTTTTATCCCACAACGAAATCTAACCTATGCTCATTGATTATTCGCCATTTTATCTAATACTTTCAGTCATCAATGCCTCCTCTCATACACAAGTGACATCTACCCCATATCTTTTCAAATCAAATCAAATCCCACGTGAGCCGGGACTTCCCCCTTTTTTCTCGCGGATATGACGCGCTCTACACGCCTCAACTCACACGTATAAGGTGTTATCATTTGACATATAAAATCTAAATATTAAAAGAATCTTAGATACCCAAAAAAAAACTTACCCACAATTAATGTTTTTTTTTAATTAAATTCAATTGATAAATACAATATTTTTTTTCTTATTCTAAACAAATCGGTATCGATATAAAAAATCCTCCATCGATTTATTATTAATTTATTTATTTTGTACACAAGACGAGATTTTTTTTTCCTGTGATGAGAACTTTGTCGAATTTTTTTCGTCTCAATCTGGAATAAAGTTTTTTTTTTCGCCTTTTTTTAAGGCTTAAGTGTATACCCACACCAATCGTGAATGGTAGCAGATGCTGCATGCGGGTAAACTGGGCGAGAAGGCAGTAAGTCACGCGACGTAGAGGAGCCTCAGCGTGTTATTAATTGAAGACGGCCGGGGTTGCCTCATTACTTCGAAATTGTGCAAGTTTTGCTGAGAGTGAGAGAGGAACGAGACTGAAGGGAAAGTTGTACGGTTCCACGTTGTACCGCGGTCTGGTGCCGTTGGTCGTGGCTACGGCCTCTCATCCCTTCATCTTTCCCTCCCAAACTATTCCCTTTTACTATCCTCTTTTCCTACTACCATGCACACTTACAGTCTGCTACCTCTTCTTCTATGGGTCAGCGTTTTACCCTCGGTCTTTATTTCTACAGTATTCCGTGTTTGATCTCTCCGGCACTTGAGATTCTTCGATGTTTTCAGGTGGTCCTCCTGACTCAGTGCTTCGATACTTTCCAATCTCCAAAATATCATTAAGAAATCAAAACTTGACTATCAGTTTGCCATTCTCGGTAGATTAAAAAAAAATTGAGAAGAAATTCACAACTCGGGTTAAAAAAAATGTAATCGGAATATCTTCTCCAAATTTTCAAAACTTTTCGGAAAATTTTTCTTTTGAAACAAAAAAAAAACAAAATTCTATTTTTGGGAAATGATAAAAATTCTTTTCATAATTTTCTAGGAATTTTTGCGAATATAATTTTTTTTTAAATTATCCTGTTATTTTCTAACTTTTTGGATTTTTCAATATTCTCAAAAAATACACAATCGAAATTATAAAAAAGAATTCCCATTCAAATCTTTGAAAAATTTTTCAAAACCTTCCCCAAAAAAAAAATTTTTTCCCTTTCCTTTTTTTTGATTCATAAAAAAAATTTCTGAAAAGTTTTCCCGAAATTTTTTAAACATTTCGAAAAAATATTCCGATTACAATTTTTTCCCCGGGAAACTACTGGTCAAAACTAATGAAATATCAGCGTCGATAAATTTTCATTGAAATTCGTTCCACTTCATAATTAAAAATTCAGATGACAAGACATAAAAGTACAGAAATTTCCCACAGTCTTCTGTTATAAAAATCATAATCCTCCAATATCCCCGTACACCGGGAGAAAGTAAATGACAAACATATGCTTCTGTAAAAAAAAACTCTTTCCAACGCCTCCATTTGCGCATACGTCATTAAAGAATGAGAGAGCGAGGCCGAAGGTCTTTGAAACTCAGTCTGATTTTCGCATGTCAAGTCGTTATACCGCTGACACAGACAATAGACAGAGTACATACGACTGCAATACCTCAGTGAAAACTCGACATTTCGCCCTCGAATTGCATTTCGAAGAATCCAAGACACAGACCGTAGAACAAATTTACAACCCCCCACATTCAGAGGGAGTAAAAAAAAAAGAATCTGAAAAACAGCGAACAACATTAAAAACTCTGTCACGGAGAAATCTGAAAATTTCTGCCGCAACGAGGGAAAAAAAAATCTCACTAATTTTATTATTTTTTCTTTTATACCTCTGTATAATGGGCGTAAGTTCACAACGTGAGCGTTTGTGTGTCACCTCAGTGAAAATGCAATGGTACATGAAATTTTTTTTCTCACTACTTTTTTTTGCCTTCTCTCAGCACTAACCGCCATATTATTTTTTCCAGGTCACGCAGAAATACCCCGCAATGATAGTAAATTGAGATTCAACGGGATAATCCCTGGTAAATATTTTCTCGATGAATTTGAATGATCAGAGACTCTAGGTGAATTTTAAAAAACAATAACTTTTGAAAAAAAACTCCCGCAAAAATTACGAATCAATAATAAATCAAAAAAATTAAAATTCAAAACTTATTTCGAATTGAGGTTTACCTATCGAGCCATAATTCCGCGATAAATCTTTTTAAAAAGAAAATGAAAAAATTCTGGCAAAAAATTTCGCTATCCGAAAAGTATAAAAAAAATAAAAATAGAAATTTCAGGGATTGCGATGGGAATCCGGGGATTGGAAATCAAAAATTGAAGGTTTTAAATTCAATGAAAATTCTGTGATTACTGGAATGTAAATTCGACAAAGGAATTCCTTTTCGTACAAAAGTTCACGCATGTGTGCGTAAAAGAGTGTGAGAGAAGGAGAATTAACGAGAGGATGGGGTTAAAATTCACAAAGTATATGAGGAGAGATACAGGAGAGAGAATGGCCCCTGGTTAGCCTACGCAGTGGAAAATTAAATATGAGTGCGATTTTAGTCGAGCAATTTATATGTTAATTCCCATGGGTATGGTAAATCTTCCATTCTCACGTTAAAGTGCCATATATCTATTCCTCTCTTCTCCATTCGTATCCCCTCTGGCACCCCTTCTGCCGGAATATTTAACGATCCTTTCTATTGTTTCCATTTCGATGTACCTGGGAGTCACCATAA